CTGGCAGTAGTTTACTAAAAAAGAAAGAAAGAATGAGAGAGATACATACACGTGCACACATACACGCGCACACACACACACACAGCAGCAATAGGGCTGGAGTAACCTGTGCCAAGGCACAGATGCCAGAGCCCTGTGGCTGTGCACCTCTCACATGTTGCCTTCTAGGTTAGCTGTGTGCACTGAGCAATTCAAAATGATAACTGGCATCGTGCCAGGCCATGGCAGGTGTTCAGTGCATGTGTGTCATGGCTCCAGGGTTCTGAACATTTCAGTTTATGAAGCTGTCAAGATGTGATAGGCTAGCTTAAAAATTGGTGAGACAAACCTATTTCCTCTAAGTGACCCCACTGGCAGATGTCTAGAGTCATAAGGAAAAGGATGGCTTGCTTTCTTATAAGAGCAAATCTGTAGGCACCACTGTCTTTTGCAATGGAGCTAATACTTCTCCACCATCTGCCCCTCATCTCAGGCAGAGTACTCTGGTCAAGCCAACATGCAGCATCCCTGCAGGAAAGAATAGAGTTGAGGGCACCTTAGGTTCTACAGGCTCACTGGCTTCTTAAGGCGTTTTCATTGAGTGAGGTTTATTTCTGTCAGACTGAATGAGCAGAAATGGCCAGAGGCATGGAGGATGCTGAAATATGGAGCATATTTTTTTGTTGGGAAGTCCCTACTCTCAGTAACTACTTTTGGAAAATAGAAAAGTCAATGTGAATCTCTTGTGCAACTTGCAGAAAGAGAGACAATGCATGCTACTAAGCATGATGAGGGTTATTTGGATTCTGGCAAGATATTATTTGTGGAATCAATCATGCAGAGAGACCTGAGACTTTAGGTTTTTTAGTATGTTTGCAATAGATAGTCTTAGGAGAAGTTTCTTGTTGGAGAATAACTTAGCACCGTGTTGGTGGGATAAAATTTAAGCCTGGGAAGGGGCATCATGATTATCTGGATTAAACTTCTCATGTTAATTACGGAATGGGGGCTTGATAAAAGTTCTCTCCTTGACCAAATTCCAGTCAGTCTCCTCTGTGCTTTTTTTTTTAAGTTTATTTTTTCAATGAGTGAGAAATAAAAAAAAAGAAAGACACAGAGACAGAAAGACAGCAGTCTAAACAGGGTCTTGACACCATGAACCACCCCTCAACCTCAGCCAGGCCTGGATCATGGGCACATTCGTGCCAGGTATACTCAGGGAGGACTACTGTGACACTGTTTGGCTCCCCAGAGCTCTTTTTAAATGAGCCTCCAGCTTTGGGTATATTCTTAAAAGCCCAACTTTAACAAGAATCCTGCTAAGTCAGTATAGCCAGAATTCCCTAGCCTCAATACCTGATAGGAGTTCTTATCTTCTACTGTCCCATCTGACCCACCTGGCCTGTGTTCAGCAAGAATCCTGTTGGGTCAGTTTAACACTCATCCTATCCTCTCAGTAATTTTCCATCCATTGACTTCCATCCATGACTATACTTACCATTAGACATTAGTCTCCTGCTTTTTGGCTGTAAATTCCCTTGGCCTTATTTTTGAAGTTGAGTCTTATCTCTCTTTCTTGTTGCAAAACCCCATTGTAGTAGTCTTTGTTTGTACACATTGCAGTAATCCTGAACAAAGTCTGCCCTACCATTTTAACAAGTGTCAGAGTAATTTTTTTTTTTTCTTGAACTGGCTTGGAGAAGTGGCTTGTCCTCTAGTAGGTCTACAGAATTAATTCAAGAGTCTAGATTTCTAGATTCCAAGTTCAAAGTTCTTTCCCCTATACCATGCTGCATTTATGTATATAAGAGTGTAGAATGAAGAAGTGATTCACTCTGTAAAATATTCTATTTAGGCTAATAAAAAATATATAGATGGCAGCCTCTAGAAAGTATCGTCATTCTCCTACTCTGTCCTAGGTAGGCTGGTTACTCAGGATGGTTGGTCAGTTAGTACTAATTCTAGTGCAAGTGAATTGCAGGTCCCACCTTGGCACCGGATGATGCTCTTGGTCATACTAGTCTGAATCAGCTGCACCAGCATCCAAAACATCAAGTGTGTTTTTTAGGCATGACTATACATACCATTAGACATTAGTAGCTGGTTAAAAACTTGAGAGTAGGGTTTAACAAACTCATTTTTTAAAAATTGTCACAGATAAAGACAAAGTAAAACAATTTAAACCCCAATACATTCAGTACCTGCTTTGTGCCAGGCATGGTGCAAGACAAAGAGACTATTATAAAAGAAAGATACTTGGACTGGTCCTATAGCACAGACCAGAGTCTGTAATGGGAGCCAGATACTTACATGGCTGACTGAGGTTCAAGTCTTGGCCACAGCAGCTTGAAAAAGCATGCTGGGTATTTATGTGTGCATGCCCCAATCTTGATGGGATGGATAAATGGAGGAGGGATTACAGCGTGACTACACTCCTTTGGAGGTGTTTTTTCTCTGCTTAGTGCACATGCCCTCTGGCAATTATAAAGAAAGAAAGAAAGAAAAATGATTCTTTCTTGACTCCCTAGGGAGGTACAGTCAAGGAAGAGTTCTCAGAATAAAGATATCATAGCCAAAACAATAGAAGAAATGCTAAAATAAAAGTATATACAAATATGAGAACATAAAGTAAATTGTGATAATTTCCTGTGATAATTGAAAGTTGGAGAGAAGTTTACCAAGAAGAAAAACAGGATGGATAGTTGAGGCAAAGAGAATGATGTAGAAGGAGGGCAGTGAACATCCAGGCATGTCAGGAAAGTCTGGTGAAGCTGGTGAGAAGGGCAGGGTAAACAGTGCTCGAAATTTGTCTGGTAAGGGAAGTTGCAGCCAGATTTTACAAGAGAAAGTTTGGAATAAGTGGTTTGACTGCGTTTAGGAAGTGGACAATTACTACCATGGAATAAGGTGAATAAATCTTGGTGGTTGAAGTATAACCTAGTAATAACATGGAGGATGGGGGGAAGATTGGAAGAATGTACCATTTGGGAACCATTGCCAAAATGATGATAATAACTGAGCACAGCATTGGTATGAGGATTGACAGGGGACCAGGGGCCTAAGTTATGCAGGAGATAGAATCATGAAGACATGGAGACTGGGTCAGAGAAAAGATAAAAGCAAAGAGAAAGATAAGTAATGATTCCTAGAGCTTCTCTACCTAAGGTAGATGGGAAACAGAAGATAAGAAGTTAGCATTTTGGGTAATGATTATTAAAGTTAGCAATATCCAATGACCGTGTGAACCCAGGGTCAGGGAAGTATTTAAAATCCTGGCATTTGTTTATTTAGTAAATGTGTTCAGTTTGCATAACATATAAGACTTTGCTCTGTACATTTAGAGGAAAAGAGAAATGAAAATGTCTTTTTATTTTTATTTATTGGTTAACATTTTAAAACACCTGTATCCTGTTAGGAGGTTTCCCATATATTTTTGTATTCTCACAAGTACCTTGTGAGATTAAATATTCCTATTTATCAGATAAGAAATCTGAGCTTTTAGCAGGTTAAGTTACTTCCACATGTTCATGCAATCAGACAGCTGCGTTAGGAATGAAACAGAGCTTTTTACTATGCCCATAGTTTGTGATCTGCAAAGTTTCTTGCTTTTGAAAGTATCAAGTATCAACATTATAGTCAAGGAAACAAAACATAAAGAAATTAATCATGACACTATCAAAGAGAGAAGAGGCAGGTACAATGTGCCTTGGGTGTGTAAGGATGGGGACATTTTTTCTGGTGCCAAGGAGAAATGAGTGGATTAAGAAGAAGGCCACTGAAGCCTTAAAGAGAGGAGGCGAGGATGAGTATTTAATCTGGCTCTGGGGACAAGGAATTTGCCAGACTGGGTAGGAATAACTCTTAAAGATTATAACCTAGTTTTGCTAGTAGACTTCCCAAGCTAAGCTATGGACCAGGGAAGGACCAGATTAGAGTTAGGAGGTGATAAAGAACCAAAGAAGAAGCACGGGCTTATGGGGACATTGGGATGCCAGAATCAAGAGGAGGCTCAGGGCCAGAGTTGGGAACTGAGATTGATGTGGAATGCAGGAATGACAAGATCAGTGGACCACAGGGAAACTAAATTGACCTTTGGCCATATGAAGCCTGAGTTGGAGAAGTTATGTGAGTCCCGTCAGGGAGGGTGATGGCAAAGGAGGAGAACCTGATGATATTGGTGATCTGAAAAGGGAAGGAAGTATGTGTAGGACAGAGGATCAGGGTTAGGTGAAAAGTGTGGCTGGGAGGTTGGCTACTTTAACCCCACTTTAGAGCTCTCTCTCCCCTGCCTTCACCATGGAATGGTAAGATGGAAAGGAAGGAATCCATGGGTTGACCTGTCTTTGTCCTCTGAACCTTTACCTGTGATTTCAGCATACCTTTGGTCTGCTGGTAATTAGCCCAGAGGAGGAGCAGGTAGCCAGCTGGATAAGTGGAAAGATGAACCACTAGAAGCAGTTCAATGCCACTGGCTTTCCACCCTGTACATGACATTGCCCCTGTGGAAAGTATCAAACTCTGCCTTCTGTAGCCTCATTTGGCTATTAGATCCTATAAATTCTGGGCAGTTCTTGCCTCTCTGAGGGTTCCCTTGCTTAGTGGAGATGGTGCAAAGTTGGTGCCACTCCAGTGACAAGAGCTGATAATACTCAGTAGCTCCCATCCTGAGGCCTTCTGGCAGGCCTGTGACCACCTATAGTACCACACAGAGCTAAAGGGCTGAGCTGGGAGGCTGACCATCACCAGCAGCTCCTTTTACTGCACAACTTCACAAAGGGCAAAAAAGTAGGTCTCTGGGAAAGGCCAGGAGCAAAGGGGAGCAAGCTTAGGTAGTAAGCAGATGCATTAGTCTAATTGCTCTTCTAAAATTAATGGGGCTTTTTATCTCTGAGAACACTTTGAAGCACTCATGTGATTTGGGAACAAAAGGGCAGGTCAGGGAAGAGCCTGGCTCCCCTTTAAACACAGTCACCCATTTGGTAAAACAATCTCTCCCTTTCTTTTTTCTCTCTTATCTGCAGGTCAACAGATTATGGTACTACCTACGAAAAGCTGAATGACAAAGTGGGTTTGAAGACTGTCCTCAGTTACCTCTATGTCAATCCCACCAACAAAAGGAAGGTAAGAGGCAAGATCAGTAAGTCTCGGGTAGTAGGACTGCTTAAAGAAAAAACCCAGTAGCCATGGAATCAGGAATACTGGTTTATATGCCAGGATCTTCATAGACACTATTAATTCTAACAATAACCTCGACAGTAATCCTCACAGTAACAGCAACAAAAGCAACACCACCAGTAAAACTATGTAACTACGAAGGAGCTCTTTGGAGCCAGGGACTATGCTACTTGCTTTACATATCTTACCTCCTTCATCATCACTCTGAATCTGTAGGGTAGAATCTATAATAATCCCCATTTTACAGGTGAGCAAACTGAAGCTCAGAGAGATTAAGTAACTTTCTAGCCAGAACCAGGTAGTGGTTAAGTAACAGATTTAGAGTTTGAGCATGGGTCTGCTTGACTCCAGAATTGAGTCTGCAGCCTCCCTCTTGCTAGTCTATTGGCAGACAGCTCTGTATTCACAGGGAGTCTATTTCTGTTAAGGAAAGGAAAGAGAGCTCATAGATTCTTCAAGGTCTGACCTTGACCATGGTGACTTCACAGTGACCTACTGTGAGGAGGAAATCTAGATTCCATGGAACAATGGATAGTTTTAGAAAAGAAATACTGTACAATGTATTGGTTTTGGGAG